CTTTAACCCAGGGCCACAGGGGAGCTAGTGTTCAAGGGCTCTCCAAGGGCCCCTGCAGTCATCTTCTTTGTCCTGTCAGCTTGGACAGTTCCTTTAGGCCAGTAGAGCAAACACATCATTGGAAGGCAAGGGGGCTCCTACAACATCTTTGCTAGTATTTTTGTCCAGGGTGATGAACTTAATATGTTATTTGTAGAGTGAATATATAACTCTTTCCCCTGTCAGAGAGGAAGAGAGAAGACTGGGCCTGTATCTATGCCACTGCCTTTTCTGTAGACCTGTGCCTGACATGGTACCTTGGTGTCTCTGCTATATTGCATGAAAATGCACCTTTCATTTCCCTTACATTTTTAGAAATAGGATATTACTGTTCTATTTTATCTCACTTCTGCCTCAAGATGGCTGTTGTCTCATTACCTGTTGAGAAGTTCCTTCCCTGACTCTCAAGAAGTCTGTTGCTCCATTGTCCTACTTCTAGAAAGATATATCATGATCAGTTTTCTTGACTGCTAAGATTTCCCAAAGTCAATTTCAAATTGTCATTCTGAAGCAAAACAGTGTTTTTGAGTATAATTTCTGAGGCCAGCACTGTCTTAATAACTGTAGGGTGACTGAGAAGATTCTAATCTAATCTCTGCTCTCAGAGCTTATAATTCTAGTTCAGGAGACAGGTGTAAATGCAAAAAACAAATGAAAAAATAATAAAGGTTAAAATTGAAGTCTAATAGGAATCAGAGAACTCCTATTTGTCATGTACATTATTTCCAGATGGTGCTGAGGATCCAGCTGAGTAAAGGGAAGCTTTTCTTGGTTTAATTCATGTTATCAAGGACTTCTTTCCAACTGCAGTTAATCTCCCTGTTTTTCCTTCCTTTGTTATTTAATGGCACTCTTTGAGTGACAGATTCAGTTTGTATGAAAGATCTGGCACAAAAGAGTTAGCTGTGTGGTGCTGGGCACATGGGGTTTCCAGACTCTCTTCACACTATTATATCCTATGAGGATGAGTCATGCCTGAAAATGCAGCGATTTTCAATCACAGTTGTCTTGTACTGAAAAGTCAGCTCTAATTCAGTGAAGGGCAAACATCCTATTAAGGTGCCAACATCTTTGTTGTTACAGGCAGGCTTTCCCCAACTGGAAGCCAGAGCTGGGAGAACTAGAAACTGCCTGTGAGGGCAGCAAAGCGTGCAGGTAAGAGGGGGAAGAAACCCCTTCTATTAAGTAACACAGACATGTAAGCCACTGATCATCCCCTCCTGAAACTCTATATCAACTCTTACACTCTTGGGGAGCTGGGGGAATCAGAAGGGATCCCTATATTTGTTCTAGAACTTGATTACCATGGGTTAGAGAGGCTGAGCTGGCCCAAGGCTCAGGTGTGGAGGCAATTCCGAGTCCCTCTTTCATGGACTCTGCCAACATGACATCACGACACTAGAACCAATGACAAGAGTTATCTGATATGGAAGTAGGGATAAAATGGCAAGCCAGGCCACTATGTCCTAGTTGTTGGGGACTATTACAAAGGTAGACTAGGTAGTCAGTAGAGTTAGGAAATAGTTTAATGCCATCCTGAGGAAACTCCACTGGTGCATATCTATTCCTAAGACAGCTAGTCTTCCCAGAGATGGTCCCTATGATGCTCCTGATCTCTGGAGGGAATGGGAACAAACATGTGGAGGGAATCAGGGTTATGGTGGACCAGTTCCTAAAGTAAGGGTGGCATGAAGGTCATCCCTATAAGCACGTGTGAGACCTCATTTTGATGCCTTCTGTAGGAACACTGGTTCACAGTTATCTGTTTTCATAGAACAACATTTTCTTTAGTCCTCTTCTTTAAGCAGTCATGAGCATGTCATATATAATAATTGAATACATTTCATGAATGCAAATAAAAGCTCCCTCCCTGAGAAAGCGGTAGGTCGTATGTTAAACTCCCCAGTACCAAATATTCCTTTAATGATCATTTATTACAGTAACTTCAAACAGATGTGACATTTTTTAAAAATGTGGGCAGGTCTCCCAACTTTTCATTTGACTTAAAAAGACTGATTTACTGCTGGGAAAAGCTCTTTCCAGAGGAAAGCTTTGTGTGAGTTTCATTAATTCCTTTGCTCAATGGCCTCGGGGAAGATGGGACCACCAGTACTACCAGCCCATCCTGCATGATTTACATGTATTTAAACCTAAAAGCACATTTGTCACATGGGTTGTCAGAACTCTACTAGAGTTTAATGAGCTCTGTAGTAGGAGGCTTCAAAAGACAACAACATCTTCATCTCTGTCTGTCCCCCAACCCACCCCACCCCCACCCCCTGCTGGAAACAGACCTAATTAGACCCGAGGGTACAAACCAGGACTGGGAAACATGCATGCTAGTTTTAGAATAAGAGAGATGAAGTAGTGTCTTTTTAGGCCAATGGTTCTTAAGCTTGAGTGTGTAAGAGAATCACCTGGTAACTGGTTTAACCTGTGGAGGTTTTGAGATCCTATCTCAGAGCCTCTGGATCTCAAGGTCTCTGGACGCTGCCTAGGGAGAGGTTTTCAAACCTGGTTGCATGTTAGAGCCTTTAAACAAATGGATGCTCAGGCTTTATCTAATTGAGTTAGATTGTCTGGGGAGGCAGGCTAAGGTGTTGGCAGCTTTTACAAGCTCCAGGAAGCCAGGTTATAGGCACTGGTGTGAGAAATGACACCTCAGACAGGGACACAGCTAAGGGCTCTTTGGAAGTTGTTACTGGATAAAGCAGCTGTCATCTAGCTTGACATGCTTACCTGCAGACAAACAAAGTATCCTGCTTCAACACGTCCCATTGACTCTGCTAAAAATACATGGCCTACAGCATGGAGAAGCCATGGACAGTTTGTGAACCCCTGATTTATATACCAAACTGTGTGTGGATATGCATGTGTCCATCTTTCTAGGGAGAGGGCTCTCAGCCTTCACCAGCTTCACTTCATTTTCCACTCCCATCCTTTGTTTTCTTTGTTTATTTACTTACTCACTCATATCCCTGACTCTTGGTCCTGTTATGTTCCCCCACAAAGGTAACCATTCTTATGGTTAAAGTATGCTAAAGTGTATCTTTTTGTTGGACTATTTTTGTTTGTGTGTGTGAATATATTTGTAATTTACATAAAGTGTGTGTTCTTAGGACAATCCTTGGTAGCACGTTAATCCATTGCTCCCACAGGCTGCGTCTGACCCCATGGAAGCTCTCCCAGTGTTTCACCTGTCCATGTCCCCAGGGATGGGCACCCAGAAGGTTTCCAAATCCCTTTGGCCACCCACAGAGCTGTGGCAGGCATCTTCATATGTGTCTCCTTCTGAACCATGAGGAATTCTTGGGAGATACACCTGGGAGGGGAGTTGCTGGGTCACTGGGGTACATATACTTCTTTGGACTAAGGAGGGCTGCACTGTGCTCCAGACGGCTGCTCCTGGTTACACTCCTGTCACGCTCACTGCATTTGTATCGATGCAAGGTCCCACCAACCTCCCCACCAAGTATAAAAGCTGTTGGTTAAGGTGGAAACTGGGCCTTTAAAGCTGATCGCCGTTCCTTTCTGTTTTCCCAGTCCGCCTTCTTTCCCACTCCCCGTGGCAGCTGTGCTGAACCTTCATTACCATCTGCACAGAGAAAATAGAGGTCACCTTTAATTTTCTCCTTCTGCTTGTAAACGCATTGATGTCAGCCACATCTTGCTTTGCTGTTCTACTCAGGCCTCCTCCCAGGCCTGGCGGCCCTGACTGTGATTCCCTCTGACCACTCCCGACTCCCAGAAGCCTTGCTGTGGCAGTCTTTCCCTTGCTTCTCTCTCGATCTCTCGCTTGTCCCTGGTTTGCTTCTGTGGCCTACAGTCTTGGCTGAGTCTCGGAAACAGACTTCCTTTCTCCTTAAGCTACCTCTCTTTTTCTTGTAGAAATGTTTTTACCTATAAAACAAAAAGTTTTTAAACTTTTTGAACACATTGTTTACTCAGTTTCTTCTGACTTGCTTTGTCATTCCTGACACTTCAATCCCGGTTCTTCTAGGTGCCAAGGCCATGTGAGCTTCCAGCTCCACCTGCTGATCTCTTGGTAGCATCTGCCACCACTGACAACATGCGGCTTCTTGGAGTAGTATCCCCTCTCAGCTGTCAGGACAGTATTTTCTCCTGGTTCTCCCTCTTCTTTTCCCTCTGCTTCTTCTCAGGCCCTGCTATGGCCTCCTCTCCCTCTCCCTGTCCTTCAGAGCTTTCCCTTGTTGTTTTCCTGAGAGAGCTAATCCACTTCCCATGCATTCTTCAATTGTCATTTACAAGCATGACTCTCAATCCTGGATCTCGTTTTAATTCAACAAATAGTTTTTGAAAATATACTGTATGTTGAGATCCAGAGTCACATGTGACATCAAAGAGTTCACAGCCTAGAACTCTCTTCACGTGGGAAACCCATACACGTGGGAGTCATTCTGTTTGCAATGGTTTGAGGTATGTATCTAATTCACGGGTTACCTGAAACAAAGTGTAAGTTTAGTCTACAGGACTCATAACACAGCCTGGCTCCACACTGTCAGGAGACGATGCTGCCTGCTCTGCTTCTGGCCTGGAGAACACCCCCAAGGCTTGTGGGTAACAAGATGTGCATATATGCACTTTCTGTGACATTGTGCAGGACCACCATCTAAGACATCTTTTTTCCCTGCCTTTGGAATAGCGGATATTGATATAGTCTCAAGCTAATGAGAATAAATGTACAATGTGAGTCTTGTGTAGAAAGTTAGTGCTGCCAGTCAGAGCCCCTGACATTACTTACCCAGCAGTACGAGGATGATGATGCTTACACACCTGAAAGAGAATGATACCAGGCTGGATGTAATTCACTGTGAAACTGAGTACAGGTCATGCCTTCCTTTCAGGAGTTAGGTTGAGCAATTTAGAGAGGACAGAAGCAAGACTCCTCTTGCTGGCCTGGCTAAGCCTTGGAGGACCAGTGAGTCCCTAACCAGCCTTACCTCTGTTTCAGAATCTGCTTGTTGTCTTCGATGGTAACGCTGTCAGCATGGTCCCTCTTGAAGATTTCAAAAGCCTCCTGGCGTCCTAATGACATCTCCTCTCTCATCCCTGTTGGAGACACAGGGAAAAGGCCTCAGTCACAGCATCAGGATCCCATTAATTGCACTGTCACTTTACTCAGACCGCAAAGCCAGCCATGGCTCCAGGAGGCTCACAGCAGAGAGGGTCCGACCAGACAGGTGGCCACAGGCTCTTCCAGCTGGCTGCCAACCGGGAGGAGGTTGTTCCAGCGACAGTCACACCCGCTGCACCCTGTGGGGCTGTGCCTGCACATCCATGTGACTTGTGGGGGGTGGGGTTGGGAATGTCTGGTCAAAGGAAATGAAAACCAGAGTGCCAAGCCCTCAATTGCCAGGAACATCTGCAAATGCACTTTCTGCCATCACTTAGTGCCATATTTCTCCCTGTTTTCCTGTTATTCCCCATTTTGGTTTTCTGTTAAATTTCACCCTGAATTTCCAGGCATTTAGTTTAAAAAAGTATAATTCAGACTGAAAGATTTAGAATCTAGGCAATTCTGCTATTTGTCTCCATAGAACAACTTATCCTTGTTTCCTGGGGCTAAATGAGGGACCTCCAGTCTTACTCAGGACTTAGCTTCTCAGTTGCAAGACCCACAAGCGGATGGAGGTGGAGGTCCCTAGTTCATATCTAACTTCAACATCCTATATCACTATTGCCACTACAGACTAACCTTCACTGCTGGGCTCTGCTCAGGGGCCAACTTCTGAAACCCAGAGTCAGAAGGGCCAAGGCCCTTGGAGAATGCAGCTGACATTCCTGCACCGAGGCGCTCTTCCTTATGCCTCCTTTGGTGAGGGTCAATGTAGGTGTGTGCTTAGGACTCTCTAGGTGAGAGCTGAATTCACAGCTGGATTTTGGATGATCTAAAGTCATTTTTATGCCTCTGCCCTTAGTTTCTTTGTCCATGTGCTCTTTGTTCATTTAACTCTACTTACCTTTCCAGCCCTGGCTGAGTATTACCACCTCCCCGAAGCTTTTCTTGAGGCCAAGACAGAATAAATCCTCCCGCCACTAGGTACCTATCGATGCTTCTGTAACATGCATAGCCCATAGACACTGTCACTTTACATGACAATTCTTTCTGGTGAAACATAAGTTTCTCTGGGGGTAGAGAGTACATTTTTTTGGTGAATCCTTGGTATCTTGTTTTATGACTGGTATTTAGAATGTGTTCAACATATGTCTATTAAATGAGTCAGGTCCAGAATGAACTAGGGCAATGATGAGTTTCTCTCTTATTGCCATAGGAACACAGTCCACGGCTACAGGGGTTTACCCTGAGGCCTAGGGGACCAGAGATGCATTCATATGGGCCACATAACATGTCTCTTGCCTGGAAAAAACCCACGGAATCCCATAACCTAGCCTCAGGGAGAGGAACTGGACCAGCCCATCTGACATCAATTTAGTGATTACTGTTGATAAAAATAGCACCATAAAAAATGTCTGAATGGTGAGACACACAAAGACACCGCACCCTTTTCCATCAGAAGCAAATGGGCACAGCTCAGTTCTGTCTCCACATCTGCCCTGCACACTGCAGAACTGGGGCAGGGGGGCCTGGAACTGGTCTGTGAGAGGCTTGGACAGATGAGCCCTGATGCACAAGAGACATTAACCAGGGGCTGAGGGATGTGCTCCATACCTCTCCCTGCCCCTGGTCTGTGTGCATTTTAACATGTACGATATGACTTTCACTGCGTAACAGAATAACAGAAGGTAGAGTGAACGAGTCTCTTGGAGTAGAGTTGGGGAAGAGAGAAACTGCATAGAGACCACATTGCAGTCTGCCTGTGGGATCCCCAAATTGCCTCCCACAGAGGAGATGAGAAGGCTCCCACCAACCAGTGGTGGAAAGGGTGGGAGGATGGGATGGAAGGTTGCTCTAAAAGCTGCAGTGAAGGAGAGGTTCATGGCCTTTCCTCTCCCAGGCTCTGCTTTCTTGTAGAGCTGATAGTCAGAACGGACAGCTGTGTGGGAAAGACATGTAGAGGTTTGTCAGTGCCCACAACACTGTTATAGCAGTAGGTCCTGGATGAACTTACAGTCAACTGAAAACTCCACTGGATCTTCCTTAAGGTAGCGAGAGACCTGGGCAGTGGGAGCAGAAATGGCATGGGGTGCACAGAAGAGACAATTCCAGGAAGACAGGTTGGGATCATTTTGCAGAGAATCTGGAAGGTCTTGCTAAGAAATTTGGTGGCAGCGTGACATCATACACAAGTCACCAATTTCCAAAGACTTGAAATATAGAGAAGTGCACATTATGGGGAAGTTACACTGGAAGTGTTTAATACTTCTGGTGATTTAAAAAGCACTGGGGTCCTGCAGTGCTATTGGCTTATTATCAGCAACACGGTATCGGTTTCCTCCTGTTACCATGGATACATATTCTGGAATTGGAGTTCTTTGATGGTGGTGACCTCAGGTGGATAAACAGTGTGATGGCCATCGTCCTGGCAATAAGCATCCTAAGTGTCTCCTCAGGAAGGCCAAGGTGAGATGGCTGCTGATGCCCATAGTCTGAGAGCAAAAAGATAAAGTAATTCCTGAAAGCCTAGAGAGACTTTGCAGCTGCCTTGTGGAGGAGGAGACTGAGAGTCCTCAGACAGGGCAGCTGAAAGGTGAGGCCCCAGGCTCCACCTCAGACCTACTCTTGTCCACCCCCTTTCTGCTTGTTTAGAGCCCACATCTACCTCTTTCTGGGTTGTACTAACTGATCAGGTTCCACTCCAGTTTGGGGTCACCCATGAAGGTAATGAACCCCTTTTTGTTTACTGAAGAGCTGTCTCCACCTCATTTTCCCTCTCAGGATTTAGAAAACAGCTCTTTCTCACATGCCAAGCTCTCACACACGTGGTATGCGGTAGAAAGAGCAGGGCAGTGGAGCACAGGACTGACTGACAGTTCACCTTGCTAATGAGATAATGAGCCTGTCTCTCACTTTAAATCAAAAGCTAGCAGTGACTAAGCTTACTGAGGAAAACATGTTGAAAGCCAAGATAGGCCAAAATCTAGGCCTTTTGTGACAAACAATTAACCAAGTTGTGAATGCAGAAGAAAAGTTCTTGAAGGAAATTAAAAGTGCTACTCTAGTAAACACACGAATGGTAAGAAAGTGCAACAGCTTTACTGCTGATATGGAGAAAGTTTTAGTGGTCTGGATAAGATCAAACCAGCCATGACATCCCCTTAAGCCAAAGCCTAATCCAGAGCAAGTCCCTAAATTTCTTTAATTCTATGAAGGCTGAGAGAGGTGAGGAAGCTGCAGAAGAAAAGTGTGAAGCTAGTAGAGGTTGATTTAAGAGAAGAATCCATCGCTATGAAGTAAAAGTACAAGGACAAGTAGTAAGTGCTGATGTAGAAGCTGTAGCAGAATTATCTAGAAGATCTAGCTAAGATAATTAATGAAAGTGGCTACACTAAACGACAGATTTTCAATGCAGACAAAACAGTCTTTTATTGGGAAAAGATGCCATCTATGGCTTTCACAGCTGGAGAGGAGAAGTCGATACCTGGCCTCAAAACTTCAAAGGACAGGCAGGCTTGCCTGTTAGAGGCTAATGCAGCTGGTGAGTTTAAGTTTAAGCAGGTGACCATTTACCATTCTGATAATTCTAGGGCTCTTAAAATTATGCTAAATCTACTCTGCCTGTGCTCCATAAATGGAATAACAAAGCCTGGATGACAGAACATCTGTTTACAAGATGATTTACTGAAAATTAAGCCCACTGTTGAGACCTAGTACTCAGAAAATAAGATTCTTTTCAAAATATTACCGCTCATGCCCTGATCTGTGTGGCTCAGTTGGTTGGGCATCATTCCACAAAATGAAAAGGGCACTGGTTTGACTCCCTGTCAGGGCACATGCTTGGGCTGAGGGTTTGTCCCTAGCTGGGGTGCATGCAAGAGGCAACCAATTGATGTTTCTCTCACACATTGATATTTCTCTTCCTCTCTTTCTTCCTCCCCTCCCCTCTCTCTAAAAATAAATGAAAAAAAAATATTACTGCTAATTGACAATACATTTAGTTACCCCAGATCTCTGATGGAGATGTACAACAAGATTAATGTTGTTTTTACGTCTGCTAACACAACTTCCATTCTATAGCCCATAGACCAGAGAGTAATTTTGACCTTCAAGTCCTTATTTAATAAGTACATTTCATAAAGCTATAGCTGCCATAGATATTAATTCCTCTGGTGGATCTGAGAAAAGTAAATGGAAAACCTTCTAGAAAGAATTCATTATTCCAGGTGCCAATACAAACATTTATGATTCATGGGAAGAGGTCAAAATATCAACACTAACAAGAGTTTTGAAGATACTGATATCAACCCTCATGGATCACTTTGAGGGATCTAACACTTCATTGGGGGAAGTAATTGCAGATGTGGTGGAAAAAGCAGAGAACTAGAATTAGAAGTAGAGCCTGAAGATGCAACTTAATTGCTGCAATTGTGTGATAAAGCTTTAACGGATGGGGAGTTGCTTTTTATGAATGAGCAAAGAAAGGAGTTTCTTGAGATAGAATCTGCTCTTGGTGAAAAGGCTGTGAAGATTGTTGAAATGATGATAAAATATTTAGCATATTACAAAACTTAGTTGAAAAAGCAGTGGTAGGGTTTGGGATGATTGGCTCAAATTTTGAAAAAGTTCTATCTACTGTGGGTAAAATGCTATCAAAGAGCATCACATGCTACAGAGAAATTGTTCATGAAAGGAAGAATCAATCCATGGGCAAATGTCATTATTGTCTCATTTTAAGAATTTAAGAAATTTCCATAGCCACCCCTAACCTCATCAAACACTGCCCGGATAACCAGCAGCCATCAACTCTGAGGCAAGATCCTCTACCAGCAACAAGCTTATGACTCACTGAAGACTCAGATGATCAGCATTTTTTAGCAATAAAGTATTTTTAAATTAAAGTATGTACATTATTTTTTAGACATAATGCTATTATAAGCAAAACTTTTACATGCACTGAGAAACCAAAAATATTTGTGTGACTTGCTTTTTT